TATGAAACCTCGATCAAGTTTTATTTTGGGGTTTTGTGGCATAAATATTGGATTTGTTAATATTTGTAAATCTAAATTTTGAGATTGTATTAATCGAATTATATATTTTACCATATTAATTGGAGATCTAAAAAAAAAAAAGTATTTTGATGTATTTAATAAATTTGTAATTACTTACCCTAATGTGACAATATATATAGATTTGTAATTAATAACAATTGGTACCAAAGATATTTCACGAAATGATTTTAGTAATATTAAAATATATTTTGGGATTATTTTATCTTCTTCTATTTCATCCTTTTGGGGAATTAATAATGTTATGGGTATTATTTGATGATTTGATGCAAATATGATTGATGATAAACTAGTTGAAGTAATATTAAAATCTTTAGTATATGGTAATTGTATTAATTCTTTAGGATTAACAGAAATATTAAATCTTCCAAATAATGTCCCAAGGGGGTTTTTATAACGTTTATGATAAGGTCTATTTAATTTATCAATAGAACTATATATATCATTAGTTAAGATTCTAAAATATAATGTTTTTTAAAATATATTATCTTTGGTTATATTTAATATATAAATGAATAATTTAAACTTACTCTACAAATGCAATAGTCCCAGTATGTATAATAGGTGTAATTTTTGTACATGATTCTGCAGCTGTTATATTCATTGGTATTGGTGTAGGTAAAATCCTTACATCACTAGGTTTTATAGAAAGAGAAACTGATATGAAATTTTTTAATGATTGAGCAAATTTCCTAAAATCTTGAGATACCTATATAAAAATAACAAATTAATTAAGTATAAAGTTGATATTTTTAATAAGAATTTGAAAATAACTCAATAATTTATTATATAGAACAAAGAAATTTTATATAACTTACATCCATACAATAATCATGATCTGGAAACTCAAAGATTAAAGTAAAATTTCTTGGTGGTATATCTACTTCATTTAATATATCTGTTGTATTCTTTAATGAATTTTCAATAGTTAATGTATTATTTGATCTTTCATTTAAAAATAAACAAGGTATCAATAAACATTTTTCTCCAAAATTCTGATAAATTTTTTGTATTAAACTATCACTATTTTCATTTGAGGGATGTCTCACAAGTACAGATTCTCCAAATTTGTTTGTATTAGATATTGGTCTTGGTAAAAAATATAGAGGTATATATTCCTTGCTTGAAATTACTTTTAATATTTTATCATTAAAATCCATAAATCCATTTTCATACTGAAAAAAAAAATTACACAATTAAAATGTTTAACTTATTGAAAATTCATAAATAAAATAGAACTTACATCAACTTCATATGATCTATTATATATCACCAAATCAGAATATTGAGTATTTTCATATGAAATACAGGTTGAATTATTATTTCTTCCACTTATTGAAATTTCTTGTAGAGTTAATTGTTTATTAACCTCTTTTATTAATAAAATTGGTAAATCTACAATATTCACCGTATTCATTAGAATTAGAGGTCGAAACATTACATTATTTAACATATATTCGGTATTTAATAATTCTTTTTGAATATTTTTAAGGCTTGTTTTAACATTACGTGTATATAACCTAAGTATATGGAAAAAAAGTGAAAATATTAGGCATCATAATATATATTACATTGGATATGTATATATATTAAAACTTACCTAACATGAATTTGTAGAATACTCTGATTGCAGTAAAACTGCTGCTCTATTGATGATGGGGGAAAGTTTGTTAGCTGGATAATATGTGGTATACAGTCCATTAATCTGTGAACTGTTGATAATATTTTTAAAGCTAGGATAGTAGCTTCATATTTTGGGATATTACAGAATGATACATTGTGAAATAGCATTGCAATCCCTGCAATCTGAACTTTATGAGGATTTTCATATATATAATCAGATATTTCATAGTTATATATACCAGGTAGCGTAAATATTGGTAATCCAAAAGATAAGGTGCTAACTTTTTCATTTATTATATCAGTCATATTATTAGGAATTTTTAGAGTTGCAAATGAACCATTTTTATTAGGTAAATCCATAATTAAGTAGTTTTGAATTCCTAAATCACTTTCAATAGATTGTAAAGTGTTTATTAAAACAGTACTGGAGTTATTTATTGGATTAGGATATTCATTAGATTCTAATAGATTTGTTTGATTGTTTGCTACAACAACAGTAATCTCACTAAACTCTCTTTTGGGTGTATTATCAGTAATTAATGAAGTGCTATTAATTATAATTGTTGAAGTATTATAAGTTGTAGTTATTGAAATAGTAGTTTTTGTTGAAGGTATAATAGTAGTTGT